GTCTCCTGCATCGGCAGGCGGACTCTCAAGCACTGCGCCACCAGGGAAGCCCCTCGCTAGTACTTTTGACGGATGTTTAGATAGCATTTGACGTTCTATAAAAGAGAGAGGCCCTTTTGTACCATTTGACCCTCACTCCAATACTGTGGGTAGGGCTCCATTCTCTCCTCTTCCATATTATGTAGGAAACCACGCACTTGTTATGTGTGCTCCCTCATCTCCTACCCTCTGTCTTTTTTGAAATGACAGCTGTTGCTCTTCGAGGCTCTCTTTATGCTAGCAGCTTTCTACGTCTCTTCTCCCCTGATCTCTGTTTTCAGGTATCCTGAAGGGATTTTCATGCGCCGGGTCACTTTCCATCTCCACCTCACTGTCTAATGAGGTATCATTCTACCTGTTGTTTAGGCAAAGTCTGTAAAGTCAGTCTTGGCCCTTTCGCTCTCACCCCACATCTAGACCATCATCCTATGTCTTCTTTAGCTTCAGAAAATTCTCAGAATATGGCCAGTTCTCCTGACTCCCCACCCCTGTCACCCAGGCATCTCTTGGACAGATGACCGCAAAGGCCACCCTGCTTTCACCAGGGTGTCCCTACAGTTTATTTTCTGTACAACAGCGGAGTGAGCCTTCATGTTTCTCTTCTTCTCTAAATGCTCCCAACAGCTCCCTTTAGAGGCCCTGGGTGCATCCCACCTGCCCTCACACCCACGTGGCTGCCTTGCTCTGGCTTGGTTCCATGCTGAGGGCCTGTGCTTTGTTCATCCTTCTGCCAGATCTGCATGCCTCACTCCTTCAAATAGTCTTCCAAATACTCTCCACTCAGACTTCTCCTTACTAGAGAGCCATCTTATTTAGAGTGTCCCCCTTACCCTCCTTTATTTTGTTTTCATACTCTGACAGCCTTTTTTTTTTTTTTTTTTGTTTTTTTTAATTAGCTGAAAGGAAAAACCCCACAGAAGCACATAGTTCCCACTGGCTGAAGGAGAAGGCGTGCACAAACCACAATGGTGAGGCTTAAAGAACTATGGTGCTCCTTGACCTTGAAGGACTGGGTTTAAATTTATGGTTCTTTTGAGCCTGTCAGAAGCCAGAATGAGTCAGTCATAACCTAGCTTCGCCTGGTGGGGAGGAGTAGGCAATGGGGTGTGAGTCACAGTGGAGAGAAGGACTTGTTGGCATGGGGCTCGAGAAAGACCGTGTCCCCTGCATCGGCAGGCGGACTCTTAACCACTGCGCCACCAGGGAAGCCCTCTGACAGCCTTTTGACTCACTACATATTCCATTGTTACATGGCTTCTTCCCATAGGATGTAAGCTCCTTGCAGGCAACAGTTGTGTTCTGTTCAGCACTCTGTCCTCTATGCCTAGAATGAGACTTGTCAGGGAATAGGCACTTAATAAATATTTACCCAATGAGCAAATGTGAAGATTGTGAGCTAGGGCTTCGACAGTTTCATTGTTCCCAAAGATAATTAAACTCCAGATGGGAAATTTGAAGAGACCCTCAAGGAGGATCATTTTAGTTTCACTTAAATTACATATTCTTGGCTGTCTTGCTCTGTTTGCTCTTTACAAACATACAGACTCCCACTTGACCTAGCTTTCCATTGCAAGCGTGAAGGCCATAAGAAGGGGGATGCTCTTTAATGGGAAAAAGGTTAGATTTGGATTTTGGTTACTTTTGGCAGTGGCTAATGCATTGCTAATCTTCAGTAAACTGAGGTGCTCAAGAGATTAATAAAGGTTGCTGAGACTGGTACTGAACAAAGGCATAGAAACTTGTTATCTATTCTTTCCTCTTGTTTCCAATGAAAATAACAGGAGGAAATTATGGCGGACACCAGGCTGGCAATTTTAGTAATTCTATTAGTACCTTTACCTGTAGCTCTGTTTATTGGGCACAGTGGCTTCTGGCTCCATCACAGCCTGCAATTCTAATTAATATTTGTACTAGAACAAGAATTGGATATTCGAGAACGTTCCATGACTGCTGGTTTTTGAAGTATATTTTTGTTTCCTGATGCCAGTTAAAAATTGGCACTTGCCACCTGTCTCTACAAGGATTAAGTCACTAGCCTAGCTCTGAGGAACTAACTGCTCCAGGGCTATAGTCCTCGTTTTGCCCCAAATCAAACTGAACTCACAGCTCACATGTTGTACGTTTTTTTTAAGTTGACACTGAGTTGTCAAATAATTATGTTTCAGTAAATATGACCAGAGAAATAGATCCTTTGAATATCTTTGTGTGAGTGATCTACTTCTTTTATGCATATTAACAGCAGGA